TTGGATCATGCACTTTTGATCTAAACCATCAGATATAAGATCGAACAATTATGATTAATCAATACAAAACCACAAAATCATTATATGAGTTGAGATTCAACACAATTTACAATGAATGGAAGGTCTTGATTTTGTCTTCCTCTTTCTGCTTGGGTACTTAATCATCGGAAGATTTAAGAAAGATCATAGAGATCGAACCCACAGATCTTGCTCAAAATGTTCAGAGAGCTTCATCTAGCATTCAACATTTGTTGACCTGTATACGGCAGTTTAAAAAAAAAAATTCATTTCGCGTACCTGCCCGACATCTGCACGACGATCACACGTCGTCGCCGCTCAAATCCCACAAATCTTGCGAAATCGAACATTCTACGCACGACCTCGCGTCGTTTCATCGCACGACTTGGTCTCGTCGATAAAGGGACGACGAAAGGAGGCATTCCGCCTTCTCTGCTCACTCTCCAAACTCTCGCTCTCTCTCGATCCCTCACCCATTCAACGACTTTTCTTTCCTGTTGGGTCGAAAATTGCAACATTTGATCGGAACCGAGCCAGGAGCTCGCCGGCGTGAAGACAACTTTCTACCTTTCGCACGCCTTCCTCGACTTTCCCTTCCAGAAGGATCGCAATTAGCTTAGATTTGATTGCTTCACACTCATTTGGTCTCGAGGAAGAGATCTCCTTTAGGTTATAGAGACCAAGGATGACTGGATTAAGAATCAACTTTTGGCCTGATTGGATTTATTGAAGCTAGCTTGAACTCTCTAGGAAAGGTCAATGGGATGTTTAAAAGTCTAATGAATGAAAGCTGGAGGGCTAGGGATTTTGGAAGCAAATAAAAAAAAAACCTTGTATTAAAAAAAAAAATTGTATGAAGGGTTTTAGTTGCTAAACCAAGCTTTAATTTAAGCTAGGTTGGGATAGCTCAAGCCACCAAAATAGTTAACCCAAGGGCTGGACTAGCTTGGTTTAATGCACAAGTACCAGGGGCACATAATGCATAGGTTGACTTAGTTAAATCGGCTCAAGAAACACACTTTTTTACCACTTTGATCAAGCCATATGGCTATTCTTAGTTGATCTAAGGGTCAGATCAGCTAAAGTTGACTCTTGGGGACCAAATGGATAGTCCTAATGGATTTGTGGGCTTCGATTTGGACTTTCATGTTAAATTCAAGGATTAAAGTCTTTAAGGTTGGATTGTTCAACTTAGGTTGACTTGTTCAACCAAGCTTGACCATGCCTTGGGATTGGATCCGATCCACTCCAAATAATATTTTAAAATTATTGGAAGGGGTCTTGGGTCATAGCATGGTCAAGCTATGTAGAGTTTATTCAAATATTCATGTATAACATTTAAGGTTTAAAGAGGTTTTGGTCAACCATGGTCAAACATGGTCCATCAAAGGATCAAACTTATTTAGGCTTAAATGATTTAGGTTTTGAAGGAGTTTAGAAGGTTTGGTGAGGTGTAGGTAAGCTTCTATATATGATTTAGGGTTTAGGATTCCAAAACCGCCTTAAATGGTCAAAGAGACCAATGATTGTCAACCTAGCTCATTCAAGATCTTGAATAATTCTTTGCATGATCATGATTGATTGATAAATGCCTAGGGACCAAATCTAGGTCTTGGTTTGGTCTTTACAATATGATTCATGTATATGAAGAGTTTATTTTTAAAGAGATTTATGGGGAAGTTCAAATTAATGCATGGATGATAATAAACAAATTTAAGATATTGCAAAAGTTTCCAAAAATGTTTTCATTAAGATACCACATTCATTGGTAGAAGCTAAAAATATTTATAGATTTTTAATGTTTGACGGTGACTTTGGCTTTTAGGATTTATAAGGCTATGTAAGCATAAAAAATGAATAGAAAAACTCTAGGGATGTATCAAATCAATATGTTAATGATCAAACATAATTGTAAGGGCTTTAACTTGGGTTTTAATCTAATTAAAAATTTCCCTAGAAAATAAAAAAGTCCAAAGGGCTTTAGGGTTTAGATTTTAACTAGATTTTTAACTTTGGGGATAAGTAATAGATTTTGATTGAATGATTAAAATAAATTGAATAATTTATGAAGGTTTGAATATGGTTCTTGAGTTTGCTTTAATAACAATAATTAAACGATTGAACATCATCAATGAGTGATTACAAAATAATTGAAAATCTAGCCTTTATTGATTTAATGATTGAGTGTGAATGATTGTTTAGGGCTTTGACTTCATATAAAAATGAGGTCAATAAGAATGCCTAAACTCTATGTGAATTCCTTTAAACCTTAAATCAATGCCTTAGTAGATGATCTTGGCATAAAAGTGAGTGCATCTTGATGAGGTAAAATTTTGTAAGCATGTTATAAAATTTTGATGCGAAATCTTCTAAATTTGTAACTTAGCAGTATGTAATGTATATTATGCAGAACAAGCTTATCGTTCATTGACTTTAGTGGAAGAGCCTAATGGAGTGTTTATATATCATATGCCCTTGTATCAATCATATTCATCCTTATCATATATAGGTCTCAGTCATATTAACTAACTTTATCATAAGCTTCGTATATCATATGTTGATGTTATTACCCTATCAGTCCAATTATATATCAATCATGTTTCTTAAACACTTAATTAGTCAATCAATATTAACAATCTCTTAATCATATCCATCATCTATCATAATAATCATCTTTCATATCAATCATCAATCATATATATCATATCTATCATCTATCACATCCATCATATGTCATATAATTCATCTATGAAATCCATCATATGTAGAATTAATCATCTAGCATATCAATTATCTGTCATATCTATAAATTAGACCAAGTAGGATTCAGAGTCAAAGATAGAGTAAAGTAGTTTCCGACAAAAAGTTATTCAAAGACAACACAGAGATCATAGCAGAGTATTATCCAACTCATAGTTATTCAACACATAATGGAGTAATCTAGAATAGAAAGTCATCAAACTTCTCAATCATATTAAGATCAATCAATCATATCAATATCAATCTCATATGTCCCCTCAAGCATACCAGTTTATTTACTTCTACTTATTCTTACACGCATTTCATATCATGTTAATCATATCAACAAATATCATATTATCAATCACATTACCTCTTAATTATATCGATATCAGTTCATCCATTTTATCTATTCTTATGCATATCACATTAATCATATATGCATCATGTACATATTAGATACAATTATCATTTCATGTGTGCTCATCAATACACAGATATTATGCCAAATGAATAAGGACTATATAGGAATTATGTATTTCATAACCAGATTTAGTATATTAACTCTTGATCATTCTGCACTCGATCAATTCTACTTACTTCAATAAAATAACATAGATACAAAACTAACACATGAAAGTTCCATATAAACCAATAAAAATATTCAGAATAATGATATCTATCACATACCAAAAGTTACATGATGAAAACTTATTAGAATGAAAGATATTACATTTTTATCAAATTTAGGAGCGAGAAACATACTAAATCTATAATAATTGAAAATAGAAGCAGCGTGGAGATCACTTACAACAATTAGAATATTTTTTTTAAACAAAAATGGCAGATGGAAAAGTCCCAGAGGACATCCTCTTTCTTCTCTCTCATTTCTCCTCTCCTCTTCCTTCCCCATAAAGCAATTAACCAAGGAGGAATATGAAGTGATGGTGAGGGATATTTATATTAAATATATTAAACTTGATTTAGTGCCCATAGTGACTACACCCAACTTCTTAGCACCATAGCGTTGCATGTTGATCCAAGACTTACTATAGGACAAAGGCTTAAATGTCGCGACAACATTTCCTGGCACCTCCTCGCTAAAACCATAATTTTTCATGTTTTTAATATAAAGTAATTTTGGCTTATTACCATTCATTTATTGGATCATCAACATGTACAAGGATTTCTTGAACCTCCTTTCCCTATGACTCTATTTGGTTTGAAGGAATTGGATGAGAGGGAATTAAAATGGAAATGCAAAAGAAATCGCATAGAACTTGTTTTCCCTAATTATTTGGTTGAGTAAAAATTATGTTGAAAGTGATTCCACTTTTTATTTGGTTGGTTTTTTAAAAAAAATAAAAAAAAATAAAAAAAAAAAAAAAACTTTTTATTTGGTTTGAAAGAAAAATGAACAACCAGATATTGTAAATGCTTGATTATAACTTTATGTTTTCATCAAGCTAATGAGAAAACCATAAAGAGAAACATGCATATGCTTTAATTTCAATGGGTGAAATCAATCTCATTTTTACTTCATCTTTTCACTAAATTTGTGAGATTATTGTACAAGAGAAAAAAAAAAAAGTTTATGAGATTTGATTTATAGTTTTAACATCAGGGAAACAATTTTTTTTTTCCTCCCATATTTTGCTTTATCTCAATTATTTAACACAGCTTGTTGATTTTACCATTTATTCCAATTAAGAGCTCCACTTAAGACTATTTTTGCTTTGGTGTGTTCTTCTTCTGCTTCTAATTAGACGTTTCAAATCTATTTAGTACTTTATTCAGCTGAAAATGGCAAAGAAATTGACAAGAGAAAATGGATTTGAATAAATTGAAATACCCACCGCTGCTTGTCTGGGTTGTGAAGAGCCGTCTGGGCAAAGCTTAGGTCATGTTTTGAAAAATATTAGTTTTCTTTTATTCAACAGGTCCCTGGTTCGAATTTCTTGGCATACAGTGAAAGCTTTAAGTGTTAACCTATATAAATTTGTGTGAGCTGCATGCTAGGTTGACCGGAGTTTTCACTGGCCTAAGAATTGCGCTTTCTCGTAAAAAAAAAAAAAAAAAAAGATTTATGAATAGTGGACGGTATGATGCTAATAAATTGCTATCAACAAAATAACGGAAGTACTGATCGTAGGGCCCAATTGCACTACTGTAATTTTGTCGAAGTATAAGGTCTTATTCCTTTCTCAACCATATGGTTTTAACTATTTAGCTCGATGACCATCCTGGCTTGGGTTCTCGACACTTCTACAGATACACAACGGCCATGGCCACTCACTCCATTCTGCCTTATCTATTCTCTTTCATTTTCGTCCTCAACTTCTCAAGCTCCGGCTTCTCTTTTCCTTCATCCGCCGTCGGTGTCTTCCCGCCGACGTGCAAACGCATCGAGTGCCCGGCCTTCGATGTAATAGACAAAGGCGATGGATACGAGATCCGTCGGTATAACTCGACACCATGGATATCGACGTCGGAGATCAATGAAATCTCTTTTGTTGGAGCTACACGGGATGGATTTCTGCAGTAAGGCATTTCAAACCCACTTACTCTAGGATTTAACTTCTTTATAGAAATGAGAATTTTTTCTGGTGAGGCATTTTGTCATTCAGGTTGTGAGCATGAATTCGTGTATCCTGATTTTATATGCTTGGAGTAGCTGTGCTTGAATTTCTTATAGGAGTTGGTATTCCTGCCTGCGAAATATACTGTGTACTTTGTTGTGCACTGGTAAAATGGAAATGTTTATGTTTTTGTTAGCATATGGGTTAAATTAAGAGAGGCGAGTCTTTCATGAGAATTTTGCGATAACCCGTCGGTAGAAAATATTTTAGTATATAAATACTTTTGATTAGTGGCATAAGCTTACCAATGTTACATAAAGCCCAACATAGGTCAAAACCTCTAACTAGTGATGTTTAAGCCTATGTTTATATCGGGATGAAGAGTTCATATGATTTGTAAACCCTATGGATATTTGTGTTTTTTAATAGTTGAATATGATTAAAGAGTTGGTGATTCCCATATCAGTTCCATGTAGGCATATGAGCTCTTGGTGCATGACACTTGATTATGTTAAAATAATCTAATTTGGAATGGAATGAAGGCTGTTATGAAATTTTCACACATTATAAGAAATGTTTTAAGCATGTGAGATCTTTAAGTTTAATACCATGTTAAATAATGGAACATATGATGCGACATAACTGCTATTGGTTGGTGAGATGTGCAAAGTAATGAGGGTGAATGAATGTCTTATTAGATGCTTTATTTAATGTGTTTGGTCCTTGTATCATCTAAAATTTTCATTGGAATGGTAATATTTCTCACACCACAATGTCCTTAGTACCTAACATTGTTCTAAATTTTGCTTGGCGTGATTGTTATCATTAATAAACAATCCTCAGCATCCTACGTGGCATCTTGTGGTGGGGCAATGGTGTTCTTCTAAGAAACTAGTAGAAAAATGGTCGTAGGAGAAGTTCCAATCAAAACATTCATTGTTGCAAAATTTTAAAGTTTTGTATAACTTTATTTTTTACCCCTCTAATTAACCAGCAAAATTCCCCTTCCATCCCCCTAAGCTTGTTGATGAACTAATTAGAGGAATTCTTATATTTAAAGTTCTCATTATTAAGTTTTGAAAATAAATTCACTCATCCTTTAGATTATGGAGTTTCTCTCTGCAAAAAAATTAGTTTTGAATTGATTTTTTGTTAAGAAAACATCATTTAATTTTAAAAAATTATACAGGATTTAGATCAATTTGATTTTTTTTTTGGAAGATAACAAATTATTGGTCATTACTCTACTATAAAATATATCTATTTAATTATCTAGCATCCTTTTAAAAACACTTATCCATGATCGAGCAACTTGCTCTTAGAATCCTGCCTCCTTGATTAGTTTCAACCCTATGTTTCTCTTCTTAATTACAAGCTTCTGAGATCTACTTCTTTTTTATTTTTTGTGGATGATAACAAATTATTGGTCAATACTCTACTATTGAATATATGTATTTAGTTATGTAGCACCCTTTTAAATACACTTTATCCACAATCGAGCAACTTGCTCTTAGAATCCTCCCTCCTTTATTAGTTTCGACCCTATGTTTCTCTACTTAAATTACAAGCTTCTGAGATCTGTAAGCTGTGGTTATGACTAAATTTCTGTATTGATGTGGTAATGGATGCTCCTGTGAGGTGATTGTAATTAAGGACAATAATGGCATATAAGAGGTAGGGCACTTTTGATGGGTGGTCTACATTAGTTGGAAGAATTGATGAGCATGACTGTTGCGTGAGGTGGGAAGCCTGGTATTAGGTATGTAGTGAAGAAGGTGCTTGGTATGGCATCTTAAGTTGTGACCGTCAACTTTGAAGAATGAAGGGAGTGAAGAGAGTGTGCAAAATGAGAAGAAAAAAGGGGAGAAGATAATATTACAACTGATATTTATATTTTGTATTTCTTATGGTTCTATTGGAACCACCATCAATCTATGTGGTCATGGATGTAAGCTTGTTTAACTTAAACCAAAAATCTTGATATTCTCTTAATGGTATTTGATGCCTTTTGTGGTTACTATGTGCTTCATCCTATTCACTGTTGGTTTTGTTCTTCCATATAAAATTATGAGCTTTCCTTAATAATCAGAATGAGAGGAATGTGATGGCCATGAAGTTCAATGGCTAAAAGGCTTTTGGGGCTTTGAAAAATCAAGATATGTGGTGTTCTAATCCAACAGGGATTTATGAAGGCACTCCTTGGGTGTACAAATATGCTTAGGATTATAAGTAAGATAAGGCAGCTAGGCAAAAAAATTTTCTTAATAAATCAATTATGTTTATGGTCTATGATTTTGATGGAGGTCATAGACATAACAACTACAAAACGTTCGTGGCTTAAGTCAAAGTGACCAACAGTTTCTAAATTGACAAAATGGCTAAAATGGCCTCTGAACTATTTGTGAGAGGCCAAAATGGTCCCCAACTCTTTTGTGGGGCAAATTTGGTCTTTCATCTATTTAAAATGAGACATTCTTTGTCCTAACATCTTAAGTTGGAGTAAAGAATATTAACTATAATGGTATTTTGGTCATTTTTTAATTAAATATTTATCAAATATAATTTTAAAATAATTATATCTTTTTTTTAAAAAATATTATTAAACATTTCTTTAATAAATAAAATTAATAATAATTTTAGTTTTAATTTCAAAAAATTTCGTCATATTTTATAAAATAGATGTCATTTTCAACTTGGTCACACATATTTTTATCAATCATATTTTATAAAATATGACTATATTTTTCAAAATAAAAATTAAAACTATTATTAATTTTTTTATTAAAGAAATGTTTAGTAAATTTGTTAGAATATGAAGATGCTTGTTACTTATAAAGCCTAGTTATGGTGGTTTTGTTTGTAAGTCAAATAATATGGCATGATAGAATCTTGTTTCTATCACTATTAAGTTGACTATGCAGGATGGTAAGACTTGGATATTGATTGTAGAAAGGTGTTTTCCTAATCTTAGCAAGAATTTTATATCATTAAATGCTCTCATTGAACCGAGATATAGTTTTCCTTTAAATGCTGAGGTCCTTAAGGTTTGTAATGGTATTTTGATTATTATAACTATAATAGAGTTGGTGGACATTATATGTTACGTTGTGCAATTTTGTGTGATATTAATTCTTTTTTGTCAACTTTATTGGAGCATCATGATTTGGTGGAGCGTAAGAAGATTTAGGTTCTTAAATGCATGACAAGCTCTTAATTAAAATGAGGTACATGTGGAGGGGTTACCTTTGGAGATGATTCGGAGGATTAACCTTATGTATCATAATTTGTCTCAGTGTCTTGTTGTACCATTGCAATGTTTGGTTAAGAAGGAAAATGCATTTGAGGTTTGAAAATTAAGTGGAAAGTGCACATTCAATATCGCGAGATCCATCTTGGCGTTCAACATATATGCTTTAGATCTCTCTCACTAATATTGAGTTCAAATGCAATTTGGGCTTGTTGGGTTCGTGTGATATTCAGCCCCTAACTTTTCAAGGGGTATATTGTTGAGTTTAGAGGATTCGTCCCCTCATCTCTAAAATTATGAGAGTTTCTCTAAACCAAAATTTTGAGTTTGAAAATAAGTTTTGAATAAATTTATCGCCTACAAATTTTGGTTCTGCTTTGAATAAATTTTATTTGGTCAAAGTTTATTTTCGATTTAAATCAATTGACCTCCAAAATTACAGCTTTCGTAACATATTATTGATACCACCACCAAATATATATTTAATTCCTTTGCACCCTTGCGTTGAGGATTATCCATAATTAAGCATTGAGGAATGCTTGCTCTCAATTATTTCCATCCTCAGTATTCCTCAACTGTATGAGATTTTCTGCTCAATGATAAAATTAGGCTAACAAGCTTTGACTGATTATTTGAAGAACTTCAATGACACGAAGAATCTTAACAACTAGACTTCTTTTTTGAGATGGCGACGAATGCATTTGTGAGGCAAGAAACCAATAAGGCAACTATAATCGAGCAGAGGCATTGTTCAAAAAGGTACATTTTACCTATGAGTGGTTGGCAATAGTTAATACCATCAACAAGCGTGATCGACATTAGTGTAGTTGTTATTAGTGAGGCACTTTGGTCTAACACGGATATCTAGTGAAGGAATTGCTCAATTTGGCATCTCAAGTGATGACAATTAGAGATAAAGGGGAATAAAAAATGAATACATTATATTATCTTTATATTATTATAAAGAGTTATCCCCTTTGAGGTTTTTTTAATGTTGATTTGATAACAAAACTAGTTAAGGCCAAATCATAAAGAGAAAATTTGTAGAGTGAATAACTTGATCTCTCTTGAAATTATCAAGATGAAGACCAAGGAGTTTTGGCAGCAATATTTTTGTCCAATGGAACTATCTTATGTAGGGGGTGTGTTTTGCGGCTGTGCCTTCCTATGGGCTGGATGATATAGGCTTCGTTTGAGATAGCTTTCTTACTGTTTTTTAAAGTAGCTTTTTAGTATAAAATTCTTAATTTTTAAACTAGAAAGCTGTTTTAAAAAGCAATAAAAAAGTTGTTCCAAACGAAGACTTAAAATTTACATGATTGTTGGTTATAAGTAGTGTATTAGAGATCGTGATACGTAGCATAGCTTTGAACAAGCAAATTTTCCCCAATGCCATCATGGAATATCATCCACAACTCTTTTTTTTTAGTGAATCATTTTTTATTGTGATTTCTCACTTTTAAATACAAAAGGAAAAAAAAATAATAAAAACTTGCAGCAACATATAATTCTTCAAGTCATCTCCCTGCAACTAAATACGTCAGTTCAACTTATTGCTTGTGTTGTAATTGTCATGTTCTCAGGCTATTCAACTACATTCAAGGAAACAACGAGTACAGTGTTAAGATAGAGATGACAGGTCCCGTCATCACCCAGATCTTACCTAGCGATGGGCCTTTCTGCACTTCATCATTCGTTGTGAGCTTTTATGTGCCAAAAGAGAACCAGGCTGACCCTCCTCCTGCAAAGGGCCTTCATCTGCAGAAATGGGATGTTAAATACGCAGCAGTGCGTCAATTTACAGGATTTGTTTCAGATTCTGATTTAGGCGTGGAAGCTGCAGCTCTCTACTCCAGCATTGCAGGTTCTCGCTGGGCATCTGCCATTGATAAAAGCAGGAAAGCTTATTCCACTTCACCTTACACTGTTGCTCAGTACAATTCTCCATTTGAGTACACAGATAGAGTGAATGAGATATGGATTTTGTTTGATGAGGAAGATAGCAGCAGCAGCTAGATAGAGCCAGAGGGAATAAGTAGAAGCTCCTCTCTAGCAGAGGGAGTAAGCTAGTATTGAGCAAATAAAGTGTCCTTAGAGCAGTTCACCAAGTAAACTTCTGTAATAAATATGCTGTATTAATTGGAGTATGTTTCATTTCCTGAGCACAGCATATGGTAATTTGAGTCTATCATATACTTTCTCATAATGTAGCGCTCTCTTTAATATTTAGGCTGCGTTTGGGACAACTTTCTTTCTACTTCTTAAAGCTGCTTTTTAGTTAAGAAATAAAAAATTTTGTACTAAAAAATCATTTTAAGAAACAAAAAAAAGCCGTTGTCTCAAAGGAAGCCTCAGTCACTCTTCCTGCTTTACATAGCTCAATAGGTTGTATAGCCAAGACTACTAATACTGTAATAGAATCGTTGGAATATGCATTGTAATACACTATGGAATTCCTTGTCCTCGAGTGCAGATTGGGTTTTTTTAGGAAACTGGGTGAAAGCTTAAATCTAGATGAACAATGAAATGGTAGGGCTTGAACCATTTCGGCTTGAGCTACAAGGGGTTAACAGGTATAAACTGATAATTTTCACATTGTGGCTTCAAAAATTGCTTGTCCCAATCTCTCCACGAATTCGGATAAAGGTTTAAGGTATTAAGTTCCAGTTCAAATTTTTAGAAGATTAGGTTAGAGAAAAAAATACTATCCAATGATTACGCCCTCATTTGCGAGAACTTTAAGATGTGAGTTCAGATTACTTGTGGACTAAAGTTGTTCTTGTTAATTATCCTTCCTAGTGATGGAAGAGTACTTTTGATTAAAGTTAATCGTTATGACAAGATTGTGACTTTGAGCGATCATGTCATTAATAAGAGTACATGTTTGATATATCTTGGATCTATTGTTCAGAGTGATGGTGAAATAGATGGAGATATTATCAGCATAATTCAAGTTGGATGGTTGAAGTGGAGCAATGCATTGGGCTTGTTGTGGGATGGAAAAGCCCCCCTCAAACTTAATGGAAAATTCTATAAGATGGTGGAGAGACCTGCAATGCTTTATGGTGTCAAATGTTGTCCATTAAAAGAGATGCATAATATTGAGCTAAGTATTGTAGAGATGAGGATGCTTAGGTGGATGAGTGACTTTACCCTTAGAGATAGGACAGAAAATGAGCATATATGTGAAAAGGTTGGAGTAGCTCCAGTGAAAGATAAGATTATAGTGAGTTGCCTTAAATGGTTTGGTCATATTAAACGGAGGCCTTTCGATGACCCGGTTAGGAAAGTTTGAGGTTTTAGATTTGACTTATGTTAAGAAAGGTTGAGGAATACCTAAAAAACTTGGTTAGAAAATAATAGAAATGATATTTCTTTATTATATTTAAATGAGAATTTGACTTTTAACAGGACACAATGGCAAAAAAGGATTCATTTAGTCGACCTCACATTGTGGGACAAAGGCTTGTTGTTGTTGTTGTTCTTGTTATTAGGTAGACACTATGTACCCAATATATAGTAGCAACATTTTTAATATTTTAGGTTTTAAAAAATAGCAACTACAGGAAAATCGTCCATTACTGACGGTTTAAATCAATTTTCCAACAGTTTGTAAAATTTTTGGTAGTTTTTCGGTGATTTTTAAACCGCCAGAATAAACCGTGTAGGAGATGCAATCCGATTGCATATTTCTAGCGGTAATATTTTTCGTCTATTTTTTGCGGCTACAACAGCCGGAAATTAATGAACCCAAAACCGCAAGTAAACCATTGGAAGATTTCGATGGGAAAATCATCGGCGATCGCCGATTTATTACCAGCAGTCAAAACCGTTGGTTAGCTGTCGTCTTTTACCAGCAGCAAATTGAGGCTGTCCAGTATCGAAGTTTTTGGCTGCTAAACTGCCGGTTTGCCGCCGGAAACCTGTAGTAATTATATAAAAAAAAAATTATTAGTCCCCTCCATCCAAACAATTTTTCACAATTTCCTACAGGCAGATCATAACATATATGAAACACTTTTGACCATATACTTAGGCAGTTCAAATTATAATATCTGAAATACAATAATATCCACAATCCACAATCAATAAAACATATATGAAATACACTAACATCTACAAAACCTTTACATCATGAGACTTAATGAATGCTTGATTGTTGTGCTTCGAGCATAGACATCTAAACATTCCATCAATCTTAAACGAAGATAGTTGAGATGCGACTTTAATAAAAGTCTCAACTCCCTCCATAAATTCATTTTTCAATCCTATTCAACCTAGTGACAATTTGTTATACATCCAATATCTCTCTTCTTGGATAGTCATTTGGATGTTAAAGCAAATGTTCCCTACATAGTTGTGAAATGAATTATTAGAAAATATGCAGCCTTAAATCTCATTTAAATCTAATAAAAAAATAATTTCTAATATTTTCTAACTAAGTCTTTTTATGTCTAGCTCTACCTTTCTTAATATAAGTCAAATCTATTACTTCTGCTTTCCTCTCTCGGTCATCGGAAGGCCGCTGTTTTAAGCAACCAACCCATCTAAGGTGGCTTATATATCTATGCAAAACTTAACTTAGTATTATGATTCTCTTTTAATGGCTAACATTTGGCACCATATAGCATTACAGGTCTCACCACCATCATATAGAATTTTGCCCTAAGTTTGAGTGGGACTTTCCTATCAGACAATAAGCCCTGATGCATTCCTCCACTTTAACCATCCAACTTGAATTTTGTTGATAATATCCCCATCTTTTTCACCTTCATTGTTAATAATAGATCCCATATATCTAAAATGTGTATTTTTATTAATGATTTGATCCTTCAAAGACACAATCCCCCACTAGGTGTATTAATACTAAAATAACACTCCATATATTCAGTTTTAAATCTACTCAAGAGAAAACCTTTATGTAGAGAGAGTTGCTATTTGCATGTTTTACATTCTTACAACTTGTGTTATTTTGATGATTTCAAAAATTATTGTTTTATATATCTCCTAACACTTTTTGTAAGATTTATTTTTGCTCTAGTGTGTACTAACATTTCAGGAAAATCAACTCCAAGCGATGAAGACTTCATATTATTCATTTGTAAATTATAAGTTTTGAAATGAGAGGGAGTGATTGTAATTGAGTGAAAAATCACAACACACACTCTTGGGGGACAATTTTTGTTAACTGATCGTACGGGACGATCGTGTCAATTAACCCGGAGAAGAGTAATGGATCGAACAGGCGGGTAGAAAATTTTCTAAGTCCTAATCGTCCAGGACGAATTTAATATTCGTCCCGGGTCGAACGTCTTTGGATTCTCACCTTGCACTGTTCGTCCAAACGAAAGATATGGTTCGTACCGGGATGAAACTCTCTGTATGAGATCGTATAGGACGAAATAAATTTTCGTCCCTGGACGAAACTCTCTGTATGAGATCGTATAGGACGAAATAAATTTTCATCCCTAACGAAACTCTCTGTATAAAATCATCCCAGGACGAAACCTGTTCGTCCCAGGACGAACTGAACCGACTTACCTCAGTTGGTTACGTCATGTAGAATTTTGGGAACCGACCTATGTAATAACCGTTTCGTACCGGACGAACATAGTTCGTACATGACGATGAGTGGTATGAACATTATTAGTACCAAAATACATTAGGATCGTTTTCGACACCTTAAGTAAAATCGTCCGGGATGATCC